CTGAAATGTAATATTTTAATAAAGATGTCAATACCAATCCATACATAAATTAGCCAAAATTGGTATCACAATTCCACAGAGTGTCTAGGAATACTACAGATAAAGGTCCGAAAGATTTATTACAACACTATCTCTAAAATACATAAAAGAAACAGAATACAAGGATAGAAGGAGAAGCCAAGGCATGCGGACGCCTGCAGGACTACCTCAGATCTCTGGATGGACTGAAGGCAGCAACTCAAAGCTACGGTTTGTATGCTCCAGTACCGGGATCTGCACACAGTGCAGAGTGTAGTATCAGCACAACCGACTCCATGTGTTGGTAAGTGTCTAGCCTAACCCCGACGAAGTAATGACGAGGCTAGGACCAGACTACCAAATAAACTTGTGCAGTTAAATCATATACAGCGGAAAATAAAAGCAAAACCTTACAATTAAAGTTAGGAAGGGGAAATAACCAGTAACAACTGAAAACAACTAAATGTAAAGAACATCATAACTCAATTATCAGTAAAAGTCAGGAAATCAAAGACAAGTGCACGACATCACCCTTCGTGCCTTTACTCTCGTCCTCACCATAAAATCAACATAAATAGCATGGCATCACTCTTCGTGCTTTTACCTCACATAATTATGACAAGGGATGATCCTTCGTGCATTATCACTCATATAAAGGCACGGAATGGTACATCATGCGGCACGACATCACCCTTCGTGCATTAACACTCTCTCCCAAATATCATACACGGCATCACCATTCGTGCTTTAACATTCTTCCTCACCCAAACAACAATCACAAAGTAAAGGGGGCAAGGAAATTAACAAATTTACAATTAAATCCCAGCAAGGGAACAATAGTACAACAATCATATCCCGGCAAGGGAAACAATTTCAAAATAATAACATCCCGAAACGGGAGATAACACTAAAACAACATCCCGGCAAGGGAGACAATATCATAATCTTCTTTTCTTTTTCACATTTATTTCACAACTCAATTCATAATTTGAGCCAATGCTCTCTAAGGTTCAATTGTCAATTATACCTCCACAAATCATTTTACAACTTGAGCCAACACTCGTCAATGTTCAAATACCAATATTACTTCCACAAGCCTTGTTCAACAATAAAAATATCACATAAGGCATGAACAATACAAAACAGAGTCACATTAATCATAGTATAAGACTCACGGGCATGCTTGACACCGACGTATAGATACTCGTCACCATGCATATACGTCGTACTCAACAATTAACACATAGCAAATAGGACACAACTCCTAATCCCTCAAGCTAAGGTTAGACCAAACACTTACCTCGATGCCACAAACACAATTCAAGCCTCAACTACCGCTTTACCTCTTGATTCCACCACCAATTCGCTCGTATCTAGCCACAAGTTACTTAACTATATCAATAAATGCTAAATGAATCAATTCTAATGCATGAAAATAGATTTTCTAAAGTTTTCCCCAAAAAGTCAAAAATCGACTCGGGCCCCACATGGTCAAAACCCGAGGTTCGAACCAAAACCCGATTATCCATTCACCTACGAACTCAAATATATAATTTGTTTTGAAATCGGACCTCAAATCGAGATTCAAATCCCCAAAATTTGAAAAAACAAACTAAGTTCTATCCAAAACAGCCAATTTTCTCATGAAAACCCTTGATTTTGAGTTGAAATCATGTGAAAAGATGTTAAAGATTAATGAAAACGAGTTAGAAATGACTTACAATCGATTTGGAAGAGCACTTGTTTTTAAAAAATCGCCCAAAGGTGTTTTGGTTTTGAAAAAGTTTGAAAAATGAAAGATTTTCAGCTAAGTTATGAATTTGCAGGTTGCAAATGTCGCAATTGCGACCAGGGTTCGCAACCTGTTTTCTTCGCATTTGCGAACCCTGATGATTTTTGTCCTCTTCGTATCTACGATGCTGTTGTTGCATTTGCGACCAAGGCAGCTCAGGCCGTAGTTCGCATTTGTGATACATTGTTCGCATTTACGAGCCAGGCTTCGCAATGGGCCTGCAACACACCAGCAATTTTCTAAGTCCAAATTTCACTCTGTGGCCTATCCAAAACTCATCCGAGCCCTCGGGGCTCCAAACCAAACATGCACACTAACCTAAAAACATCATACGGACTTGCTCGTGCAATCAAATCATCAAAATAACATCAATAACTATGAATTTAGCATCAAAATCAAAGAAAATTCTCATGGACTCTTAAGTTCAAATTTTAACAACCGAAGGTCCGATTCATGTCATTTCAAGTTCGTTTCTTACCAAATTTCACAGGCTCAACTTAAATCACATATAAGACCTGTACCGGGCTCCGAAACCAAATTACTGGCCCGATACCATCAAATTCAAACATATTTCATTTCCAAAAACTTATATATATTCCAGAAAATAATTTTCTTTAAAAAAATTATTTCTCGGACTTGGGACCTCGGAATTCGATTCTGGGCATATGCCCAAGTCCCATATTTTCTTACGGACCCTCCGGGACCGTCAAATCATGGGTCCCGGTCCGTTTACCCAAAATATTGACCGAAGTCAACCTAAATTCATTTTAAAAGTAAAATTTACCGTTTTTCATAGATTTTCACATAATGGCTTTCCGGATACGCGCCCGGACTACGCATGCAAATCGAGGTGAAATAAAAAGGAGGTTTTATGGCCTTGAAACACATAATTTATTTTTAAAACAAGTGATGACCTTTTGGGTCATCACATGTGAGAAATGATTTCACATAAATGCTTAAAATAATTCACCTGTTACCTTTTATTTGTTGCAGAACGTTTCGACACACTCTGTTAAAAAAATTATTTAATAAACTGAATTATCATTTATCTCTCTTCAAACTTTTTCTAAATATTGGTAACTTTAGTAAGAGTTTTAGAAGATTGTATAAATTATATATTGGAGCATGGATAGAGTTGACAAAAAGTAATTAGTACTCCGGTCCACAATAAATGATCAATTTATTTTTTTATTTTGATCCAAAATAAGTGTCCATTTATTTAATCAAGAAAAAATTCAATTTTTTTTTTCAAAATTACCCTTATGTACGTATCCCAAAAAAGTCATTTACTCCTCACATTTGATAAGAGAAGTAAGTGCTACTATAACTATATTGCAACATTTAATGAAGGCTAGTTTAGTTACACTAACTATTTTCGTCTAGAATTTTGTATTTCCTTAATAGGTGTGCCCAAAACATATTGATCACTTATTGTGGATCGGAGGCGTATCATCTAAGTTTTTAAAAATAATATTTTTGGACCAAGTTTATTTGGCTAGACCGACAGATAAAAAGGACAGGAAGAATTATCACATATTGATTCGGGTAAATTTCATAAATGGTCATATAACTATGATTTTTTTTTTCACCAAAGTCATATAACTATGTTTTCTCACACAAAAATCATAAAACTTTTACTAACTCACACAAAAATCATAATGATCGAAAAATACAATTTTTCAGTTGTATTTTCTTATTTGTTGATTTTATTTTTTATTTTCAGTCTAATATCCAATTAAAATAGGGGATGACCCAACCTGAACTGGTCCTTCAAAACATGATACTTTTATCTTTAATTTTTCTTTTCAAGATTTTTATTCAAATTGATCGCATTTTTATTTCAAGTGCTCTCTAATTATACCTTTTATTTCTTTATTTTTTTGTCAGAATCTCATGCATTCCGACCTAAGTTTTTATGGTGTAAGAATTCACTTTTAATATTATTTTAACTTGCGTATATAGTTATTGGGTCAGGCTGGGTTGAGTCATTCCTATTTTAAGAGAAAAATATAAAATTAACTGACCGGTCGAAACTAATTGCATCTGCTAGCCAAAATATATATAGAATGTGTATGGTATATGTATATAATATACACATTTATAAAAATATATTTTAAAGGCTATTATTTTTGGGAGGGCTAAAAATATATGCACATTTCTCCTATTTTAATTGGGTAATTATTTGTCAGACTGAAAATAAAAAAAAAAGCATAAAATAAAAAAATAGTATCAAAAAATTTGTTTTCCGACCACTATGATTTTTATGTGAGTTAGTGAAAGTTTTATGATTTTTGTATGAGAAAACAAAGTTACGTGACTTTTGTGGGGAAAAAAATCATAGTTATACGATTTTTGCGTGTAAGTTATGTAACTTTGCTGAGAAAAAACCATAATTATATGACAATTAGTGAAAACCACACTTGATTCTCTCAAACTTCAAGTTCTCATCATTTCGTTTCTTGTTTTATATCTTTACAGTGTAATTCTGATATTCATTATCAAAGCCTTACCAAATAAGGAATCTGGATTGCCACACAGATGGTTAATTTCCAAATTTTTGACATTTCCCAAATGGTAAAGTTAGATATAACTTCTTGTGCACTGTTTTAATAATTGCTTAGTGATTGAGACGTTAAGACTAAGATGTGAAAAGATACGTTTGCGCTTCGATATTTTCTCATCTTTAAAATATCATGTTTATTCCACCCGCCTAATAATTAATACCACTCTCTTTCGATTACATCATTTTTTAAATTACTTTCTGACAAATCGCTATTCTTGTTTCCTGGTGATTGTGATGTTTATAATCCTTGTAAACAATTTTCAATTGGTTGTACTTAAGCATCAGCAGAATTAGAATAGCCTCTTAAAAGGCGTTTCATCCCAAAACTTTGGAAATGCAGGGCAAGCCATCATTATCCCAACTTTTAGCATTCGTTTTTGTAACATTAATTAAATATGTAAATAAATTAACAGTAGGTTACAGTCGGGCAGATCTAGCCACTTTATTGCGTATCAAATAAATAAAACACACTTTATTGTGTATCAAATAAATAGAACTGTACGCGTTCTGACTCTAAATCCTGAATTTGCCCTTGCCTCTAATTTCAATCTTGCTTATGATTCTTACCTTCACATTCCAATTTAATACATGCTCCATTTTCATGCAAAGGATCATTCAAAGTGAATATCTATGTGAGAAGAGACGATATCATTACTACATCAAACATAATAGGATATACATCTTTGCATTCCAATAAATGGAATAATAATCGGTAACAGTTTTGACCAATAAGAATTGGATCCAAATTGTAAATCTATTTTTCACTAATACTGACATTTAGGTTTCTTACATTCAGGTAAGCCCCCCTCTTTCAGAATCCCGGGGGACTTTAGTTGTCAAAAGAATAAAGAATCATCTACCCTCCTTTAACTTGTCCAATGCTTTTTCTGGCGATTCAACGGAAGTTCAACATGCTGAAAGTCCCAACGATAAGCAACCGTGCAGGAAACAGAAGCACCACAAGCAAGTGCATGTGCTGCGATGCAACTAGCGTACTGAACCGCTTCAATGACTCTTTTCCACTATGTAAAATGCCAGCAAAGTTGAACTGGCCACGGCCCATATTACCTGATTCCACATGCCTTCTAACAACAATACCAGCATTAACCCCACTTGGTGCAACCAATGGCCACCAAACTCTGCGCCTCTGCTTCCTCCGAGCTTTTCTGATACTGTTCAGCTCTTGGCGAATTACGTTTCTTACAGATTTTAAGTACGAGTTCATGTCATGATCTCTTTGTATTGTTCCTCCAGAACCATAGGCTGAGCGATCACTTAGGATCTCAAGCGGGTGGGGTGAGTTTAAAAACACAGACTGAGCGACTCGGATTTGTTTTTCTGCCTCTGCTGAACTTGATACAGGATCGCTCATTAAATACAGACCGGAGCCTGAAGGTAGCAGGTCGTGGTTTGGAGAGAACTTGTCATCTGGCTGCAGAATTAAGAATTCCCCCATTGGAGCAAACAACAACTTCTGTTGATATAAAAACAGAGACGTGAGTAACCATAGAACTTAAAAGACTAACACGTAAATCATTCTCTAGGTAAATGGAGCAACATTATTCTCTACCTGATTATTCAGACATGGATGATTGCGGAAGTTTCCATTGATTGCTTTAAGAAATTCTGCAACGTGATTGGGATAATTGCAAGAGAAGGCTCGGGGTACAATGTCTCGGTGCATTGTGATTGCCTGCAGATGACTCCGAGGCAAGCCAAGGTGGCGAAGGAGGCGGTCTCCTCCGCACATTATTGACGGTGCACCAAAAGTTATAACAGGAAGCAAGGAAGGAGGAGGAACTTCTCCCCTTATGTGCAGCATGAGATTGAGGAGCAATGATAAACTTCCACCAAGGGAATGCCCAGTGAAACGGAATTTGGCACAACTACCATGAGATTTAAGGTGTGAACGTACTTCCGGCAGCATCTGTTCGTACATTCCCTTTGCAGCTTCATAGATACCTCTGTGGACCATCACATCCAAACCCTAAAAAAGAAAGATGCAATCACAACTCTCCGTCAATGCATTGTCACAAGATTTTATTAGGAAAGTGCTTGTGCGCGTTATGCTAGCACAACAACACAGTCAGACTAGAAAACAGAACACAGTTTAAATTTTGCGCAAGCACTTATTTGAGTGCCTAAATACCTCAAATTGAATAGGTTCAAAGAATAGATTTGCTTGCCATGATGCCAATGACTCTGATCCCTGACAGTAATTAAAGATGAAATTTAGCAACACAATGGAGAGTGAAAAGGTGAAGATCAAATTGGGCTATGATGCATACCTGAATGACAAAAAATCTTGTCAAACTCTCATCATCATCACATACGAACCACTCACAGGGTGAAGAATGATTCGAGTTCAGGTCGTCTGCAACAGCCTGCTTTACTTCCTCCTTTGCAGCAACTACTGATGTAACTGAGTCACTGGTCGCCATAAAAGAAGCAACTTCCCTGTTCCTTCCAACTACATTTTCACCGCTTCCGATGGTTGTTTCAGAGGAATCTTTATTTGGCACAGAGTTGGACGATTTAAACGGAAGAATGCTCTTTGTATGAGAGTGCAGATAAGATGCTGCAGAGGCAGCTATATGGTAAGCAGTAGATGCACTTATCCTGTTCCCACTGGTCTTCATATCCCCTTCTACTGAATTTGTAGTGTTCTTTTCTTCTACCTGAGTTTGAACAACTTCATTCTCTTTCTTCTCCTGGCCTTCAGCTTCTGCCTTCTCTTTCTCAGCTTTCAATGCCTGTTCTTTCTTCTCCAATGAAGAAGTGACAAACTGCAATCCATGATTCCTCAATAAATTTTCTGGCTGCACCAACAAAAACAGAAGCATGGAATCCCATAACATGGCTGCCAGATGACATTGCTTCTAACACAGAAACAGAATAAACCAAAGATCAAATTGTCCACTTGACACAATCATAGAGCACCGTTAAAGCTTGTATAAGCATATTATGAACAGACTATCTTGAAAAACATTGTCTTTTCCAAGTTTCTTCAAATCTAGACTTATTGGTTCAACTAGAAGAAGGGATAATTCTTGATTCCTTAAAACCCAAATCATTAATCATGCATAAGAAAATATCTCTAAAGCTAAAGATCGCGCCTTTTGAGACCTTTGTAACCTCAGAACACTAAAATTAGGCAATAAAAGCTGTAATTTGCTGACACCCCTTTTACAGAAGCAAGTGAAGAAGTTAGATCTACATACTCATATTCCATCAATTTATGCAATACATTAATCCAATCACATATCTGTTATCTACCCGTTTCTCCATTCACAAGACCTTATTTTTCCAAATAGCCTCAGAAATTAAACAATGAGCAATCAACATAGACAAAAAAAGGTTAAGAAGAAATTACCTTAATTTGGGGTATAGAATAAGCCAGACTTCCCAAATAAGACATCTGAGCATACAATCTAGCTTCAGCTAATGACACCCTTTTTAGCAACTTAGAAAAAGAATTTCTATCAAATTTGAATTTTTCTTCATCATCATCTACAGAACACACATCACACTCTTCATCCCCACCACCGCATTGACTATTTTGCCGTCCACTGTTTTCTTGAACATCATCTTCAACACCACCACCACCACCCTTGTCCCCTACATCATCATCCTCATCTTTACTACGCAGAGACCTAACATGCAAAATCTTCAATACCCAATTCCCATTTTGCCCCTCCTCCTCATCTTTCTTCTCCTCCTTTTCATCCATCAATACGGCGTCGTCTACAGCTATTGCATCGTACCTTCCTTTACCCCCTGACCAAAAGGATCTAAGTGGGTACCTAAATGAAAAACCCCATGATGTATTTTTATTCCTCTGAGAAGAAGATGGCTTTTCAACCGACATAGACGCCGCCGACGAACGGCCAACGGCGGATGTACTAAATTGGGTTGCACGGACGTCTAAGGCTCCGGTGCCGGCGACGGCGATCGGCCCCGCCATACCTTGAATCCCTCCCGTTAAACAAATACTATCCATTGACAAAAAAAGCCTTTTCAAATTCTACAATTTCTTTTGTTCCTCTTTGTATTTTTTTCTTTTTGGTATATCAATATGTGACAATTAGAGGTGAAGCTTTATGAACCAAAATTGGTATTGTAAAGGTGAAGCTTTTTTTGTTGTTGTTTGGGCGTTAGGGGTGGCAACAATCTTTGAATTTGGAGTTGATTTTCGGTTTTTTCGTAAAAAGAATCAATATCAATAATAATACAGAGAAAATGGGGGGAGAGAGAGCAAAAGAAATTAAAGAAGGGGGGTTTGTATTTGTAAACCAAACATATAAAGGCACAGGTGAACAACCTTTCAGGTATCTTTCTCTCTCTCACAAGTCACACCAACGATATTTTTCGTTTGCCTTTTTTCCTGGAAACTACAAAAGAATCACAACCAACACGACGTCGTATTAATGTGGCAAAATTTTGTTTTTTACTTTTTATTTATTTATTTATTTTTGAACACCATGTTTCGTTATCACTTTTTCGTCATTCCTTCTTTTCATTCGCTTCCAGCTCTCCTTTTGACGCCTGATTATACTTTTATTGGAGTATATTTTTTATATAAGATATTTGAGTGTATATTAAGATAACAATACTATGTTGCTTGGACATGAAATCTAAGCAAATTGTAAATAATTGGATAAGGACTATAATGGGGTTTTAATAATTCATGCCAGCCCAAAATTAAAAGTACCAGGTGACCGCGGGAGAAATTCAAAAATATCAAATTTATAAAAGTAATTAAAATTTAATTATTTTTTATATAAAAATAAATTTGAACGAAAATACTGTTCAAAATCCGAAAAAATACTCCAGTATAATATACTGAAGTTTCAGTATAATATACCGGTTCAGCATAATATACTGGAACTTTTTGCGTGTTGAAGTTCTAGCATAATATACTGAAAGTTCATACACATGTACACCGATCTCCAGTATATTATGCTGTAACTTTTTGTGTTGCAATAAAATAATAGCTATTTTTTAATAACTTTACAAATGCTAGCTATTTTTATATGGCCAATCCGAAACTAGCTAGCCTGTGCTATTTGTCTTACCTAGTTGGCAAAAAGGGCCAAAAAACCAGAATTGAAAAAACAACAATGAAATGGATAGTCTTACTTATTTTATTATTATTATTGTTATTTTAGTAGAATAAAGATTTTGGGAATTTCAGAAGGCTTTTTCGTCTTCCTCCACGTTATTAGGATGCGTGGGTCCCACATTAGAACAGCTCATAAATGGACTTGTGATATACACTTGCATGATTGCCACGTCCACTTTGGCAGATGAACTATACCAAATTATGAAGTGACGTGTCTCAATCTTGCTTCTTCTTAGTCTTTACGTGCCTTTTTTCTCTTTCTCTCCCCGTCCGATACAAGCAAAACTTACACAATACATTTTGTGTACAAAACGTGTAGAAAACGTTCTCAAAGAAATCAACACGAAAAACATCACCTTTTTTTTTACATCAATACTCTTATAAAATAAAGACTATAAAGTAAAGACAAGTATAGAGAGAAACTGATATATTATTCGAATTCAAACTGATGTACATAATAAACTGAAATCTCTTCTATTTATAGAAGAAAGGAAGCTGTTGTGTAAGCTACTACTATATTAAATATGAATAATCTTCTACTGAGATCAATGTTTATCTATAACAAAGTACTGAAAGGATAAGCTTATTATACCCGATATGGATAATCTTCTACCGGAGATAATATTTATCCATAACTGAGTACTGAAAGAATAAGCTTATTATACCCGATATGGATAATCTTCTACCGGAGATAATATTTATCCATAACTGAGTACTGAAAGAATAAGCTTATTATACCCGATATGGATAATCTTTTACCGGAGATAATATTTATCCATAACTGGGTACAGAAAGGATAAGCTTATTATACCGGGTATGGATAATCTTCTACCGGGGGTAATGTTTATCCATAACTGGGTACTGAAAGGATAAGCTTATTATACCCGATATGGATAATCTTCTACCGGGGATAATATTTATCCATAACTGGGTACTGAAAGGATAAGCTTATTATACCCGGTATGGATAATCTTCTACCGGGGGTAATGTTTATCCATAACTGGGTACTGAAAGGATAAGCTTATTATACCCGATATGGATAATCTTCTACCGGGGGTAATATTTATCCATAACTGGGTACTGAAAGGATAAGCTTATTATACCCGGTATGGATAATCTTCTACTGGGGGTAATATTTATCCATAACCGGGTACCGAAGTGATAAGCTTCTTCAGGAAGCTTATTTCCAATATAGTACTAAATAGATAAATATATTTACGGTGGAGTCCCATATGGATAAGCTTCTTCAGGAAGCTTATTTACAACGGAGTACTAAACGAACATCCATAATATAATATATTTATAACACCCCCCCTTGAATGTTCATTAAAAGATAATGTGCCTCATTAAAACCTTACTAGGAAAAACCACGTGGGAAAAAATCCTAGTGAAGGAAAAAGAGTACACATATTTAGTAATACGCATTGCTGACTGCCTCATTAAACCTTATAAGGAAACCCTGTGGAAAAAATCTTAGTAAGGGAAAAAGAGTACAGCGCGCATTTTACTCCCCCTGAAGAAAACCTTATTTCAAATATTTGAGTCTCCGTATTCCAATCTTGTATACCATATTCTCAAAAATTGATGTTGGTAAAAACAATCTGTTGGATTGTCACTTGAACTAATTTGATGCACACAAATGTCACAATTTTCCTGAAGATCATGTATGTAGAATAATTCTGGTGAAATGTTCTTCGTTCTATCTCCTTTTATAAATCCTCCCTTTAATAGTGCTATGCATGAAACATTGTCTCCGTATAATATTGTGGGTCTTTTATCACATTCCAACCCACATGTTTCTCGAATGAATCACTGATCTCAATCATATGCACTCCCTGCTTGCCGGTTTGAAATCGAGCTTTATGGGTATCGGATAAATAACCTGCATCTGCATTACCAATACGATCTGCACCACTTTTGTTAGCATTAGCAAGATAAATAAGTGCACCATCTACACCGAGATAGAGTATTTCAGGACCAAAGAGCTCCTCATCCTCTTCTAGAGGTTGGAACGGATCCTTATTCACTTCAAGTGATTGAATATTCATTGGTGTACTTAATGGGTACACTTTGTCCATGTAAAAGTATTTTTAAGACCCTCTTGGAGCTCTTCCGGAGTTCCAATAAGATTTATGTCACCAACATAAACAGCAAGTGTAACAAATTTTGATGACATTTTCTTTATAAAAATACATGGACAAATAACATAATTTATGTAACTTTCTTTCAGCAAATATTTACTGAGGCGATTATACCACACGCGCACAGATTGCTTTAAACCGTACAAAGATCTTTATAATTTGATCGAGTACATTTCCTTCTCAAGACTTTGAATTATTTCGGGCATTTTCAATCCTTCAAGGATCTTCATATAGATTTAGCCAAATAAGTCATATAGGTTAAGACTTGTATCTAAATGGTATGACATCTTCAAGTGTCTGGACTGCTAGTCCGATCCTCACAATCTTTTACAATATTGTGCACTATATTGTATTAAATATATCGTCGACGATCATTTTGTGTCAGTTCCGAAGCGACATAACTTGTGGAGATCTCATCACTTTCTTTATTTTCAGGTACCTGAACTTTTTCGGGAGTTTCATAAAATGTTATGTTGTGGGCTCTTCTAGAGCTTATTTCCTACTCATTATGATCATTTTGATCATTAGCTCCTACTATTTTTCAAGGATTGTTACCTTTGGAACC